TGTGTGGTATGTTTACCAAGCAACATGTCAAGGGAAATATCTCAANNTCCAAAAGTTAGGCCATCAGATAAAAATGACCTAGAAAACATACCAGGGGCATGTAAGGACATTTCTAGGCCATCATGACGTAAACCGAAAAAATAAGCGCAGGAAAAAACATATTTTTTAGATTACGGTAGTTGTCGCTGTGGGATCTTCAATTTGCTGCTCCACGGCTCTAAGGTTCTGTACGACTGGCTCACCCGCATCAAAAATAATCGGTGGAAGGAGATACAGAAAAAATACTTCAGCATCCAAACTGACACCATTTAGAGATGTTAAATGGAGAATAAATCCAAGGATCAGACCAACGATAATAATGAGGGATGAATCCGGGAGCCATTTTGTCAGAAATTTCAGATAGGAAAATACTGAAAAATATCTGTATGTGTCAGTTTGTCCAGATGTCTTACAAATCCTGGCCAGCGATGCAATCAGGATCCAGATGGCAATCGTGTAGACAAATTGCACTTCCGTCCATTTGAATGGAAACATCTCAAGTTACACATTGGGTTTTTGGGATTTCAATAGTACCTGTCCTTGGGATTCAGCTGCTACAGAAGCCATTTGAGTTAGAAATATGAATGTAGCGTAATACCACATTTTCCAGAATGCCTTTGAAAGACCTGAAATTGAAACGATGAAAAAAGGGAGTCGGTCAAATTTGAATAATGCGATTCAAAGTAGAAAATGTTGGTGAAAAAAGGTTAGGGAGAAGTGTATGCGAAGCGTACAAGAGGATATCTCGAAGCGGAGAAGCGAAATATGGTGGAGACGCAGACACATTCTCTCTGCGTCTGAACTTTTTTTAGACAGCGATAATATCAAAGAACAACAAGTCTGATATACAAATTTTGAAGGCATAGTAACATTGACCGGTCAGATTCAGACTGTGACTTATCTGAAAAAATGGCTGGTTTTCATACTTTGTCGCCAGTATTTTTTCTATAATTTTTTTAGTTCGGTAAACAGGAGAAATCGAATGTTTTTCTCGTTTTTCATAACCTTTGCAAAAACAAGCAAAGCTAGGAATACACAAGCTTCATAAGCAGGTGTTAAATGGTCGTTGATCCCTTCTGATTTTATTATGGCGCATATTCAGTGGACTAGAGCATGAACACGTGCATGGAGCAGAATCTCACGTCATCTCGAGTATAAAGGAAAGACCAACTCTCTTATGAGAGGGAAGAAGGAGAGCAGCACAACGGCTTTTCCCTACGATTGAATGAAGGAATTTCATTATGTTTTCTATTCGTGCCATTGATACAGTAAGTATGATTCGCAAATTGGAGAGGTTTTCTTCTAGACTCGAAATGTGGCTTCCTGAACATACAGTGGCGAACGTTAGTGAGTGTCACTCTATACTTTTGTTCATAACTTTCAAGCTTGTCCAATCATCGAAAACATTTTTCTTAGATGTAGCAGAGTTTCCAACAAAACGTTATATAAATTTTTTGAACCTCAATCAATTTTTGTGTCTTCTGAATTTCCACAGACGTGACGATGACTCCAGAAGCAAAAAAAAAATTTCCGTCAGAATTTTTTTAAAGATTGGCTTTGTGATGAAAAATGTTTGGTGTAGATCAAATATATACAAAAAAAAGTTTGAAGCGGTTTGGAACACTTGCTCTTGAGTTGTGTTCACTGGAGCATAAAAGGTATGGTTAAGGAGTTTGGCTATAACTCGACTCAAAATAATCCAAATTTGCTCAAATCTTGAGAAAATGTGTGTCTTTAATTCTTCTACAATAAACATACAAAACTTTGTATTTT